CATATACAGGCTTTCTGAACTGAACACAGAATCATAGAATCATAGAAACATCTGGATCGGAAAAGACCTTCAAGATCATCAAATCCAACCTGTTGTATATAACTGTTACTAAAATCATCTCTAAAGATAGGAACATGTTGATGAGTGCTCCTAAAAATGGGTGAAGGCTTGGACTCCCAGTTGATGAAAAATTGCAGGCATGAAATCAAGGAACTAAGCTGATTAATACAAAGCAGATGAACCTTGAACATGTGGAGTTGCTGTCCTCCGGATTCTAAAAACAGCAGCTGCTCCAAAAATAATGCCTTGTATTTTATTGTGCTGGCCCACAACATCGGAGGCAGATGTTGGTCAGATGGTGGTAGAGGTTGAACCTTCCCACTGATATCCCATTACTTCATTCACCACTGGTGAAAAAGCACAACTAATGGTGGTGACTGTATTGAAAAAGTGTGTTTGGTAGCTCAGAGTTTGCACTACCCAACTGTGTCATTGTGCTCTTTTTGTCTGTTGCAGTCTCCATGGAAATAAATATAAGGCATTATTTTTAGTCAGACCTATGTAGAATTCTGGTAGGGAGGGAGGGATGAAAGATCAAGAAAGCAATGAATTTAGTTACGAAACAAACCATATCTGACTCATCAGCATGAGTAGCACAAAGATCCTTATAAGTTCTCCTTTGAATACAAGGTAATGCAATTGAAAACTGCTTGAATAAAGAGATTAGAAAAGCACAAAATTCACTCTTTCTTAGCTTTCATTTCTCTTCCTTTCCACAGCTGTGAAGTAACACCTGACTCAGATTATTTTTGTCTGGCTCAGGTAGATGAGACATTTGTAAAAAGCCTATAAGGACAATGGAGTTATTATAAATTTATGCCTGTTTAAGTAACAGTGCACGTCTTCAGACTCCTTTCCAACCCCAATGCACTTGAATAGCAATGTAATACAAAACTTCAATAAATAAACTTACCAAATAAATTTTAATAAATGAAACTCAAATAAATAAACTGCGTCATCACAGTTTAGTTTCTTGTTAAAGGGATGGAATTCTCTGAATTTCTTAAGAATGCTAAGGTCACATAGGCCCTAAATTTCCAAACACTGGAAATATTTAGTGACAATATGGGATTAACCTGCATAGAAAATGCCAAACGCACAGGTCTTGATCGGGGCTTTGTAAATATTATTTCCCTGATAAAGAGGACTTGTATGCACTTCCCTAGAGGAGAGTGATTCACCATATGAGGTTGAGAACCAGTACAGTGCAGTGCAAGCAACTCAGTTGCACACTGTATGGAAATCCAGGCATGACTCATGACACTCAATATAGAATTGCAAGCAGACATTTGCAGTAACTAAGGAGGACTTTAAAACTGCATCCCTTTACTCTGTGCAGAGGGGCCCTGGCAGAACAATCCTTTTGGATTCAGCAAGGTGCTCAGTAAGGTGCTTAATACTGTATGTACACTTACACAGGACAGGAGAGCAGTTTAAGGGAGTAAGTTGAAGCATGTGTTTAATGTTTTTACATCACCCTACAGTACGCTCTTATATAACATGCTAAACTGAAGACAAAAATGGCCAGCATTCCCCTCCCGGACTTTTCCTTAAGCTTGAGGGTCACACGGGGTATTTACAGACAGCAATATTCGATTGAAATCTCATATCCCTGTGAAATTTTCATTAGTGATCACTAGATAGGAGCACATTGTTATGTGAACGGATGCTAAATCTGGCACAGCTTCAGCGTGGCTTCTCAAAAGCACTGAGCAGCTGCACTGAGACGTGCTCAGCACCACTCGCTGACAGACTTGGGGGCAGGGGGTACAGAGAGCTGAGGACAATGCTCACCCTGCCTAAGTTTAGATGTGTAAATGCAGTGCCTGGGTTAGGCTCATGATTCAGAAAGGAGCTGTTTACGTACCCATGAGACAGTCTCCTCCACAGCATGATGCAGAGAAACCTCTGAATCTCACAGCAGCTCTAAAGGAGGCCATTTCTATTAGTTGTAAAGAAGTCGAAAAGGAACACTGGTGCTACAAATACCTTTTCATAAAGAATTCCAGATATCAAAGCCTTGAAGGAACTTTAACTGCGGTGTTTTCATGAGACACGTAACACCCAGCTGTTTCAGTGCCTGACACTGTTTTTACCCACTGTCTTACGAAGCCAGTGTTACTGAACTGCCTGAATTGCTCAAAACCCTATACAATTATGACCATTTTTTGTCTAAGAGTAGGTTTATTTGTCCATTAATATAAGTGCAGCCATACAGGATTCTCTGGAAAACTGTACTCCAGATGTTAATTTTATAAATAAATAAAAATCCCTTCCTCCTCTGCCACTCTCCAAAAGAGCCTGCAGTATCAGTTCTACTTCGATGAAAAATCTGAGTAGAAATTTAACTTTAAATTCTGCTCTAGCAAATAAAAGTCTGCATCTTCTTTCATTCTGTCCTGCTCAGAGTTGCTAAGTTCTGCCATTAAGAAGCGCTTAGACAGAATCATGTAAAACACCTATGTATTCTTTCTTTTTTAATTGATTTCAGAAAGTCTGATATAGTCACTGGTTAAACAGTGTTTTCAGTATTTACAAGTATTTTTGGACAAGCCTCATGGTGCACTGCTCTAAGGCAGAGTAATTGAAATGCTGGGTAAAAGAGGGAAAGCTGTGGGTTTTTCCTAGATGTATCTTTTTAATATGTCTCCTACAAACCACAGAATTGCACGCAGGTAGCTGAGTTGCTTATTGAACCCTGGTACTGAGTGCTGCCTTTACTTCCTGAATGTTTGCGCTGCTCTGCATTGCACTATCGCTATTCTTAAACCTAGGACTAATTCACTGCAGCTAATGGAGCTGACATATGGCTTTGCTCTTTGTCTAACCTTTATAGGTCCATTTCACATGAGCGCTTCATGGACTGGCATATGCAAAACAGCACTTCCTTAGTTCCAAGTTCATTTCCTTATCAGAATATATGGCACTGCATTATGCCGTACGTTCGTGATTTGAAGCACTGACTGATAACACGGGCACAGTCAAACAAAATGGTATGGGGAATAGCAAGCAATTCACTTGTTTTAGGGAAAGAATATGACATCAGAAATACAGCCATAGCCCAGCTAGATTTGATTGGATGTAGGCAATTAGCTGAAATGATAAAACCGTTAAGATATTTTTTTTTCCTGATAACTACCCATATTTAAGTATTATCTGTTTATTTTTTCTCTGGTATCTTAGTGGAACTTGGAATGCATTTGAATTATTTTCCAGTGTGCATTTACTGCACTGTTGGATGTAAAATTTCTCCCTCTTTCTGGCTACATTATCCTCATAAATTGCAATAAGAGAAGCAATATTTTTAATGAGTACTCTTGTCATTAACCATAAAAGTGTTTACTGAAATGATTTCTATCAATGTCTGTTAGGGTTGGAGTTTGAACCTTTTCAGTCTGCAATCAGAAATATTTGTTTGCTTAGTAACTGATTCAGGGAAAAAATCCATTTGTAGAGTTGTGCCTTTCTAAAACGCTGATACAGTGGGAGTTTTGGACACAGACTTTGTGAAACAAAAAGGATGTGATCAAACAGAAAAGTTTCAGGCTGTGTAGATATTCTGCATAACTGCATGAGCACAGAAGTGCTGTTGCATAATTAGGAGCTGAAAGGTTTTTTCCTCTAAGTTTTGAATTTTCAGAATTGGAGTAACTGACTTGCCTTGTATTTATAACATCTGAAAACCTGCAGTGGTAGCAGTTGGTTTGCTTTTACTAGAAGCATCTAAAATACAGCACTGCTGTGATGTACGAGGATGTAAGCATGGCTGTCACTCTGGCAGGGTGTGATCTGTGCATAAGATACATACTAGTTCACAAGCAGTGTACAGATGCTTTTTTATATAGAGATTACATTCACTCCTAAATTCTAATACTAACAAATTCCAAAGCCAGTAACATGTTCTTTACACTGAAGGTGCTTATGATTGTCTTCAAACGACTTTAGGAGAAGTAAGAGGACACATTTTCTGACACCTCATTTTCTGAGGTTAGGGCTATATAAGTCTGAACAGAAATTCTGCTTTGGTATGACTTTTAAAAATCATGCCATGTTTTTGAGAGAAAACCCATTGTTTAGTGTGGAAATTAGTTAATATGGCTTGAATGTAGACTTTAAATTTATTTCTTTTATGCTGCTTTGGAAATGTATTTTCTGCACACATTTACTGCAAAGGATTTTTGCTGTGGAAGCATAAGTTACTGAAAGCACAGAAAGTATTTTGACAATACAGGAAGCATTTGATGAAGCACAATTTGCTCTGCAAGCTGTAGTTAAACAAGACCCTGGGAGCAAACCCAAGATGAGAATGAATGGTAATGCTTTCAGAAGCCAAAACTCATTCCTCTCCATGCAGAGCTTGCTCCTGCACAATGTCCTCACACAAGAGTCTTTGGTGGAGATGGCTGCACTCTCTGGGCATCATCACAGAGCTCAGTGTGGGCCAGCAAGCAGCATCCTCCGAAGAGCAACTCACTATTGCTTCCATATATGATTGATAGTACATAAAGGGCTTTTTTCTTACTGTGTTGAAATGTGTGTAGTGGGTAAAAAAAGACACCTTTAACTGTTTAGGCTCTGATGCAAGAAAAAGAAGATGTGTATATGACTCCATGACCGATTCTTCTGTACTATTTCATTGTAGTGCTTGTGACACATCTGTAGGTGAAACACGCAGAATTTTGTCTTTTTGGCACACATCAATGAGCACTGCTGCCACTGCCGTCAAGCAGCGACCTCACTCCAGTTGCAGTCGTGAAAGGTGCAGTGTTTCTCCTTGTGGAGAAATTCTCTGCAGCTCTTCTTAATCAAGTAAGGACACGCTTTCTGCACCCAACGCATTATTACTTTCTAATGCCAATGCTTTCAATTCTGAGTTATATTTCCCTGTCATTTCAAGTCAGTGGTTTGACACGACCTTTTTGTTTTCTTTACAAATGTTGAGACCACACACTCTGATCTCTGCTAACACACTGTATTATGCTACTATTAAACAACTTTTAACATCACATCACATACATATTGCAGTTGCTGTTGGAACATGCCTTTTAAAAAATACCTTTATTGGATGAAATTGTCTCTTCCCCAAGAAAAATCTGGTTCTTCAATATAATTTATTATGCCTTTTAAAATTCTGTCTGTTCAATAAAATCTCTGCTACAATATAAATGCCTGTAAAGAAAATATAATTTAAAATTCTGAGAGAAAACATTTTTTTCCTTCAACATTTTTCACAAAACCCACACAGGCACCAAGGAAAGACTAACAATAAAAATAATTTACTCCTGTACAACGTTCTCTGGGTTGGAAACATTCAAAAGAGAGACTTCAAAGTTGTCCTCTGATAAAACTTTGGCTACAACATAGGAATTCATCTCAAAACAAAGGAGAGTCCTATGTTTTCCACCCGTTTAAATCTGAAAACATGTCTTTTGAAGAGCTGATTTGAGTGTTTGTAGTACTTTCCTCACTTTAACATACTTGACTGACGACTGGCTAAAATCACTGTTATCTGACAGCCCCTGCATGAGGCCAACAGTGGTCCGTTATCACCAAATGGGATTACAATTGTAAAGATTACACTCTCAATTCTGACAATTAAATGTTAGTAGATATAAGTTAGTGCTCTCACTAACTCCTCCAGTAGCAGCAATTAGAAATTTTAACATTCTGCTTGTTCAGTAGTTACGTATCACCCAAAAGGTTGTGTGTTAAAGGGACAACATAAAAAAGCTCTCTTATTGCAAACAATTAGCTTTTTTTTACTTCTCCTTCTATTCAAATATCTTAGTAGAGACTAAGCAATTTAAGTGTAAGAGACATTTACTCTTGCAGTTGTTATCTCTGAAGTATGGACAGAAATATGGAAGAATTCTTCCAATCAACTACGCTACATCTATCTAAAGCTAGCAAAAACACAGATTGAGCCACAGGTAGACATGAAACCACTAAAATCAAAGCAAAGGTTTTTAAATCTTAAGTTCAGTAAGATAATTTTCAAAGTTACCTTTAAGCAATGATTACAGAATTTAGTGTGAAATTTGAAAAATCTCTATCCAAACAGATGAAATATGAATACAGTGTTAAACTCCTCTTTTAGAGACTCTTGGATCATTTCAAGAAATAGACAATAAAGGAGGAACACATTTTTCTAGAATATTTGGAAAATATTTCCAGTCTACATTTCTACAGCAGATGACAGAGAGAAAAAAGTAAAACCTAGTCAGCACTTGTTTGGATTATCTTTAGCACTGCAACTAGACACTAGAAGCTTTCATTTCCTTGTATTAGATCATGCCCAATTTCTGAGCATCCAGCACTGCATTGTTTGTTGGTGTTTTTTTTTGTTTTTTCTTTGTTTTTTTATTTTGTTTTAAATTATGAACAGCAAAATATTATTTCAATCTTTATTCTGATTTTAAAGAAGTATATGTGAAAAACTACTTGTCTAATATGCTGCCATTCATACCATTCTACTGTATATGACAGCACATATGATTTTTTCCACTTTGGATAGGGTGATAGATCTTTTTGACCAGTCCAGTTCTCCCTTCACTACTTGTAATTATACTCCAGAGGAGCCTCACCACTACGTATTTTCCTTTTATCTTTTCATTCTTATTTTCCTATCACTGCTGCAGGTAAGCAGCAGCCTGTCCTTGCTGCTGATACTACTTTGTTCCCCACTTCTGCACATTCTTCTTCCTTTCCTCTCCCTCCTCCACATCCCATTCTGTCCCTCCCTCTATTTATGACTCCCTTCTTCTGAGTGTTTTTTTTTTTTTTTTAATTACACCTCCTTCCATTAATTTTGCCTTAACTTCCTAGAAACTTGGGAGGTGTTACAATTCACCAGACACTTGAAGATGCAGTCACAGGTCAAGGATGGGACAAAACGATCCCATCTTTGTTGTCCTGACAGCTACGGACGTAGACATCTCAGAAGGCATTTATATTACTTAACTCTAGAAATCTGACAGAGGCTCCAAAGGCAGGAGGTTGGTTCTTCAAAGTTCACATAATCAATAAAAATAGATAGGTACTCCACATTATGTAATTCTGAACCAGTGCAAAAACTGGTCGAGTGCTCTTAAGTGCTATCTGTCTTCATTAGCTACATACAGCCTAGAAAAACTAAGCTCATAATTCAGGCACTTCATTTAGGCAGTTTAAGTTAGGTGGTGAGAATCCCCATGGTCTGGAATGCATTGTTTGGAGCTCTTTTATGTTAGAATATGACTGTCTCTAGTCTAAACCATTAATAACTTCAGAGATGCTCCAATTCAATTCCAGTTTCCCAACTGCTCCTTTACAGGAGAGCAGAAGGGTAAGAGTGCATTGTTGTTCAGAAAAAAAAAAAAAATACTATGAGGGAAGAGGTACTTGCTGCAGGTGTTAAATCTACAGTAAATGCCAAATATAAGAAAGACTGCACTACTCATTACAAATACAGAGATGAGAGTTCTCCCCATAGATTTGGCAGTTGCGTTCAAAACTGCTTGGCAATTCAGATTTTGAATCCTACTGCAGGCTAAGGGAATAGGGTGTAAGAATAAGTAACGTGAAAATGTTTAAAATAGAGCATTAGTATTTTCAAGGGAATACTGCTGCATTTCATGCCTGAGGGGGCAAATCTACTCTGATGGTAATGAAGAAAGTCTTTGAAAAAAGCTATTACTAAAAAGCATCGGCTTACTGCCTTATCCTCCCACATTCATTTTTTCTTCCTTGAAGTTTGTGTTAAATATGAAGCAAAGCAGCAACCACACAACTAGAGCATACAATAGAGTTCTGAAGAAAAACCCAAAAATTGGAGGTGGGGTGGGAGAATGAATATTTCCAACTCAGCGTCATATGCCATAGTTTAGTTTCCTTCATTTACAATATCAACCAAGGCTTGCAGCAGTCTGTCATCTCTATGCTTGTATGGTTTGGCATTGTAAAAGAGATCAACATAGTCACTGTACAGACTTTCTTCCGAGTCTTTTAACTGGGAGGGCTTGTTTAATTTTTCGAGGGCTTGATAGAAGTGTTCATATGGAATACTTAACTTCTCACTTGCGGTCTTCTTCGGCAGTCGCTTCTGGGCTATCTGTCTGCTGAAAGCACTTTGCAGTAAATGCAGCATAGCTTCTGATGGGAACTTATCTTCTGCTTTGTTCCTGCTGCTACTGATATCTTGTGTTCCTTTGTTTTTTGCACTCAAGTTCTCCTGTGTGGTACGGTCCTAGAATGCAGATTGGCATAAAAGAGGTTAAGCATGAATGCAAAACTGGATTAAGAGTTGCTCTGATTAGTAATTTTCATGTACATGGGTGTAGATGCTATTTTTTTTCAGTTAAGAGCCACTAACATCTAAAAAAGAACTAAATCACTACACGTCAAAAAGGACTATCAAAAGGACTTCACTGCATAAAGAATCAAACCTCCCAACAAGTTATGAAGATCCCACAATGGAAGAATGCAACTTGTAATTTTACAGCGACATTTGTCTCAGTCTCAAAAATACCCCTGGCTGTGCTATGAGAGACAGTTCCATGGCTATCCATCTGGAGGAAATACACATCGTGGTGATGGCTCCAAATGTGCCACATAACCTTGTGGAAAGGACTGAACTAATTCTTCCATGTTATCTGCTCCACCGTTGCTCTCGCCTGAGAATACAGTGAACTTTGGCTTACCTGTGGCCATGACATGTACCTCAGTAAAACTTTGGAAGGCTAGTGCCAAGTGCAGATGTACATAGAAACCAGTTATGCACAGTCTCATTTGAACACTGTTTGCTATGCCTTGAATGCTGTATAATGAGGCTGCATGATGTCTTCCTATTGGAACACTCCATCTTGAGCTGATTTTTATACATTTCCACCAAGTTTCTTCTACAACACCACCTGAATCCAGTTTTACTTTTCTACGATTTTATTTTACTACATGTGGCTGCCACAACTATGGACACTTAATTTTATGTATTTAAAGTCCATTATCATGTTTTCCTCAATCTTCTTTGTAACCTCACTGATGAAGGTTAATCTCTTTATACATTATGGACATTCTAATTACTTAAAGGGGAGATGAATAGATGGGATGTAATTAATTAAGTATTCTGCAGACATTGACACAATCAACAGTACAAGGGCTGCTTCAAAAATAATGCCTCCTCTTTTATGATGTTGGCCCACTACATCAGAGACAGACAGTGGTGCAGCCGTAGAGGCTGAATTTCCCACCAGTATCCTTTCACATGTTGCTGCTGTGTGACAGATGGCAGCAAAGGGGCAGTCTGACAGAACGGCAGCTGAAGTGGAAAAGCACATAAAGAAAGTAAAGGTGGGTCACTAAATTCCTCCACTGGGAAAAAATAGTACCCACTGACAATCACTGATACTGATACTTGTTGAACACTGATGGAGATCAAACAGTGGATGTGATCACAGGGAGAAGACAGGTCATGCATTTCAGGAGTAGTGACAGCAACGTGAAAGAACAGCCATATTCCGGATGGCCATGAACAGCTCTCACACCACAACATCAAGAGTGTTTTGATCAGCTCATCCGCACAAATTGGAGGATTACAACCAGAGAACTGTTTAAACAGCTGAATATTGGCTTCAGTGATTCAGAAACAATGGTGGCAACATTGGAATAATGCAAAATATGCACTAGTTTGGTCACACAATGCTCACACAGGACAGAAAGAACACTGTACACAGGTTGGTCAGGACTTACTGACCCAATATGATGCTTAAAGTGACATTTTCCTGGATCACATCATTACCTGTGACAAGACATGGTGTCACCACTACTATGTCAAAATGACAATGCATGGAGTGAAGACATGCAAATTCTTTGTTGAAGAAAAAGTTAAAAATGCAGCCCTCAGCAGGTGAAGTGATATTTTTTTGGGAGAGACAAGAAAGCAGTGATTCTTCTGGATTTCCTGAAACCCAGACAAACCATCAATTCTGACTGCTACACCATGACTTAGTGGAAAGCTCAAACTTCCTGAGTCAGGCCAGAGAAGAAGACTACTTTTCTCTTGCAACACAGTAACTTCAGGCCCTATAGCAATTTGAAGACTATGGAGCATGTTGCCAGGCTTGGCTGAACCGCTGTACCACATCCACCATACAGGCTTGATACGGTGCCTTCTGACTTGCACTTCTTCAGGCTGATGAAAGATGGACTGTGTGGGCAACATATTCCTAGCAAGTGTGCTGTCATAGCAGCTGTGAAACAGTGGTTCACTTCTGGTGATGCAGATTTTTATGAGCATGCCATGCAGGCTTTTGTTTATCGCTGGCAAAAATGCACAGCTACTGGCGGTGAAAAATAGTGTTTTATTGCTGACAAAGTCCTCCATCAAACAATGTTATTGTAATCTTCGTATCTGTTATCATTTCCTCTGAAATAACAGAAGGCACTACTTTCAGAGTATTGTGATTATTTGCATCCAGAAATCCACTGCTATTCTCAGAAGCCTCAAATACGTTCATTTTCCACGCAGAACTATGCCTTAAAATGAAGAAGGGGTGAAAAAGGTGCTGACAGCTCCTTAACTGAACTGCCTGAACTGTTCTGGCTTTTGTGATGTATTATGTAATAAACCTGCTTCAAAACTCCCTAAAAACATATCAGCAGATTCTTTTCAGATTCAATATTCACCCTAACTAGAATTACAAAAACTTACTGTGCATTCCTCCCTCCTGTACCATTCAACTGCATAAGCAGTTGAGTTCAAAGCTTTAGTATCAGCATCCTCTTTCCATACTAAAACTGTAAGGTACTATAGTATTAGACACTAATAAAAATATCAATTGTTGACATGTTGCCAAAAATACAATACTTGCACAACTCACAAATGGTCTGGAGCTAGAGAAAATAAATGCAAAATGAGTATCACTACAAAAAAAAGAAGAAGAAAAAAAACAACCTTAATTTTCTTACAAATTTGAAAATATGTTAAGAAAAATATTAATGAGACACTACCTCAACAAGGTCTGTCATCTTCTCCACTCCTCTTCTGTCATTTTGCACAGCATTGTAAGATGTGTATACACGTGGTTGTTTCATATGTTCAGGCTGGATATCAGTGCCATGCAAAATCAATTTCCAATTTACAATCCTTCCTTCATTTTGTATTCTTTTGGACTAAAGGACAAGACAGCATTAGCATAGGTTCTCAGAATATAAGAGGAATAAACAGAGGATATCTGATCATAAAATAGTGAGAATTCACTAAAATAAAAAATGACTCTGTCAGTATGTAAACTTAGACCATGATCTGTAAGCCCCACAAGACCGACACATTAGGGACAGAACTTATAAGAAGGTGGGATTTAGTACAATGGTTTGACTGGTAATATTTCAACAAAACAAAATTATTAATTAGTCTTATAAGCATCAATGGAATTTCATAACAATACTAAAATTACTGAAGTAGTATTTTGTATTATTAATGTTAGTACACTAAGCCATCAAATGGCAATTTTCTTTAAAAAGTTACCTATAAAATGTTTGGAATAACATTCTGTAGTGGTGTACAACAGCATTCTGAGTCACAGCTTGTGGAAGCAAGAAACAAATGCTTTGTACATTAATTTTGACACTGACCTTTAAAAAGTAGAAAATGGAAGAGACAAGTACAGAAAACAGTGAAATTTTATTTTTCCAAAGCTTCTTTCAGAATTTTTGCTTCTTTATCTAGTGGCTGAAGAGAACCACTGACGCTCTTCATTGCTATAAACTATACTATAACTAAACTATATATAATTTATACTATATATATATATATATTAAACTAAACTACAAACTTTACTATAGAAAGTTTATACCAAAGTTACGTATGAAAGTTATATGACAACTCAATTATCAGTAACTCTGCGTGGTGATCTGTTATTTCAATTGGTCATTAATGGTAAAATTTATTTCTGGAACCATAAAACTCTAAACACATTATTTCTTGTGGACAAAAGTTTGCCATACTGTAGGTTTCAGGAACCTATTGCAATTGGAAAGTGAGAGAGAATCAAAAACAAAATGCCCTTCTTAGTCTTCTTCTAAAAAAATGCATCATTTTACTTACAAAGAGCAGGATATCTGTAGCCATAGGATTATCCATAAGCCTACACAGTATTAACACAATACAGTTGTCAATAATATTTACTTCTACTGCCTTGTCCATCTGTTCAGTATTAAACCCATGTTTACAATTCGAGGCCAATAAGGGTTGGAGACTCAGTGTCTGATAGGAAGCATTCAGTTTCTTGCATGATATGATCCCTAATGACAAGCTGATTAACAGACAGTTCCAATGAAATTCTCCAGAGATGAGTGAGCTCTTATTCTTACTTTAAAAAGAATGATTTTTTCTCCTGCCTATCAAACAGCTTTCTTCTGGTGTCTCACTGTTGCAATCCATATTTCACATAGTTTTAATAAACTTATTTATTTTAAATCTGTAGATTTCTTGGCTTTAGTCATTATAGGTTTTTCAGCAGTCATTACTCTTGAGAAGAAGGTTAGGGGAAGATATATAACAGAATAGTTCCCTAAGGTCATCAGAAATTCATTAACTCAGATGGTTTTGAGTTAATGACAATTATGCCCGTGTACCAAGAAGAGACTAGGAATATCCTGTGTGCTTTTCTGCAGAAAAGAACTAATTTGCAGTTAATCATATGCAAATTTGATTACATACTTCCACCCTGAATCACAGAAAATTACATGAAGAAGTGATTTCTTTCAGTGACATACAATGTGAGAAAAACATAGGCATGAAATTTCTTTTGACAGGTACATGTCAATGAAATGAATACAGTGCATTGCATTCGTGTAAGAACAAGAAAATCTGTCTGTCTTTTTTTCTGCCTCAGATGAGCCTTTAATCTTTAATCCAATGGTTACTTAGTTTAAATACACTCTTGTTGTAGCTTGCTTAATGCATACTCAGTATTCAACACATTTGGTAGTGGTATGATATGGTTAGTGATGTGTTAGCTTTCAAGCTTAGCTGATTGGCATGCAGACATACTTACCACATCAGTAATTCTTAACACCCAAATGCCTGTTGGATTCTCTCCCCATGTGTGCACAGACATGAAATCCCAGTTCTTAAAGCCATTGGGAGATTTATCTCGCTCTCTCTCAGCCAGTAAGACAGTGCTGGTCCCTGTGTTAGTGCAAGATCAACAGTAGAGACTGTTCATATGTTTCCCCTTCAACTTTCACACTGTTTGCTTGCAAACTGTATAGTGTAAAGGTAACCTGAAAAAAACACTATTCAGCAGTGGCTTGGTGAATGTGGAATGTGCTATTTCTGACAGCTGGTTACTTCAACAAATGAGCTTATGCAGTATACACCAAGGCCTTACCCTGAATTTATCATTATACATATTTTTGGTGAGTGTAAACCGTTACAGTCTGGAACTCCAACAGGGTGAAATGTATTTGTATTTTTATTACTATTACAAAAATGCTGTACTTCACAAAGCAATTCTGCAGCAGAAGAGATTCTACTGGAGAGCAGATTTGTTGTGCTGATTTGCATACAAGCAGAGAGCAAGGGAGCTCTATTTTATGTAACAAGGGGAGCAGAGAAATGCCAAGGAGCCTAATCACAAGATAAAAATACATCACGTTTGAAAAGTCATGGCTGTCAGGCAAAATCCCCAATGACTGGAAAAAGGGAAACATCACTCCCATTTTTAAGAAGGGTAGGAAGGAAGACCTGAGGAGCTACAGGCCAGTGAGACTCATGTCTGTGCTTGGGAAGATCACAGAGCAGATCCTCCATGAAGCAGATGGAAAAGATGTCAAGGCACATACGAGATGAAGAGGTGATTCAAGATAGCCAACATGGCATCACCAATGGCCAATCTGGCGACCTTCTACAATGGAGAGACAGCATAACTGGACCACTGAAGAGCAACTGCTGTCATCTATCTGCTCTGCTGCAAGGCCTTTGACATGGCCCCACATTACATCCTCATCTCTAAGCTGGAGAGATATAGATTTCAAGAGTGGACTACTCAGCAGATGAGAAGTTGGCTGGATGCTCACAGACAAAGGACTGTAGTCAGTGGCTCCATGTCCATGTGGAGGCCAGTGAGGAGTAGTGTTCCCAAGGGGTCCAACCTGAGACCAGTGCTCTTCAGCATCTTTATCGGTCACACAGATAGTAGAATCAAGTGTGCCCTCTGCAAGTTTGCTGATGACACACAGAAAGAAGGAATGACATCCAAATGGTCCTGGACATGCTTGAAAAGTAGACCCACATGAACCACATGAGATTCAAGAGGGCCAAGTGTGAGGTGTTGCACTGGGGTCGGGATAATCCCAGATGTGTGTACAGACTGGGAGAAGAATTCTTTGAGAGCAGTCCAGTGGAGAAGGACCTGCACATTCTGGTGAACAAAAAGACGGATATGAGCCAGCCTTCTAGCCTAAAAGGGCAACTGCATCCTGGGCTACATCAGAAGAGTGGTATGTACTGCATTCACATCTAGGGCTCCCAACACAAGAAAGATGTGGAAGGGGTGGGACTGGATGGGTTTTAAGGTCTCTTCCAAAACATTCTATAATTCTCTTATTCTATGATTAAAGATAATAGTGTAAATATAGAAATGGGATAACACATTTGGTAGGAATGTTTCATAGGAAAGAAGAAAAACAGCAAGAACTAAGGGAAAGAAGAGTCAGATAGATGAATCTCAGATGAGATAGGGTGTCTAAGTATACTATCTGTACAATATCTTCATCTGCTTTGAAGTGAGGTCATGTAACAACGATATGAACAAATCACAGAATCACAGAATGGCCAGGGTTGGAAGGGACCTCAAGGATCATGAATCTCCAACCCCAACTCCCCTGCCACATGTAGGGCCACCAACCTGCTCATTTAATGCTAGACCAGGCTGCCCAGGGCCCCGTCCAATCTGGCCCTGAACAAATCATTACTAATTTATTGTCTGTGAATTACTAGATTAGCCTGATCTTTAAATTCTCATATCTATTTTCTCTTGTTTTTGAACTGACTGAAGATCATACTTTCAACAAAGTTGTACTCATTCTCCTTTATTTTTCTTCCTCTTGTGATGTTATTTCAATGCACCATAAGGATAGCTTGCCACGTTGTAGTATGTTTTGTAAAACATAAAGTATGTTTGTACTAAGGTGTCAAACAGATACATACTTTTTTTTTACATACACCAGTGGGAAGACACAGTCAGATGAAATCTAGGGAGTCAGATTTCCTCAGTTTTCCATTAGGTCATTAAATCACAGTAAGGCTGATAAGCATTATAAAACTGTAATTTGATACCACCAGGGGCTCTTAATTTTTACAGGTCCTGCTGTTTGAAGGCAACATATTAGAAATAGTGCCTTCATCTCTGAATTGTGATTTACATTCACCTTACAAAAATAACCCAAAACACAATGAAAAAGGGATTCAGAGAACCAGTTCCTTCATTTCCAGGATGCATTGTTCTCATTCTCGTCTGTTCACTGTAACTAGATTTGTGTAATTATGTATTTTTCATCTACAAAAAACACACAGGTAGTTTCTAATGCTTCCCATACCTGACGGAGACACCAGAGTGACATGAAGGTCTCCTCTCCGGGAATATTCAATTGTTGCTTCAAGCTGCACATGTTCCAGCGATGAGATTGAGTTCTCTTGACCCTCACAGGCTTTTGTAGGAATTTCAATGATGACCTCCTCATTTGCTCTTAATAACCTGGCAAAATTAGAGAAGTTTTATTTACAGAAATATTTGATTCTGAACTAATATGTGAAGTGTAGAGATGAATTTAACAGTCATTCTAGAATGGAGGCATAAGCTAGTGTTGTGCAACCCACCCTGGAAGCAAGCAAGCAAGCAGGTGTGATGACTGAGTCTCTCTCCACATTTTGTTGTCACACAGAGACTACAAAAATAAGTCTTTGCAGTCAGATACACCACATGATCGTATCAGACCTTGACATAGCTGCCTCACTGAAATATCCCAAACTGTTAACATGGAGTTAAAACACTGCAGGAACCTTAGTGTTTTTAAACTTTTGTAATTCATGTCATCTCTAGAATAAAAGCATTACTTATTCTGTACATTCTCAGAGTTCTGTGCATAGCATTCTCTTCACATTTTCCATTAATAGTAATGAGAATGTGGTATCCAAATCTCCAAAGAAATGGTTCAGATCTCAGTGTACTGAGATCTTTGTTTCATAATGTAGCAAGAAGACTGCAATAAAAATGCATAAACAGCAAATACAACATACATCACTAGATCAACATTCTATGGAAAGGAGAGGGCTCATAAAAACAAATTGATAGTAGAATAGCATAAATAGTAAGGTTACCAAGCACTGATGATCCAAAACACTGCAATCCATTTCTACAGAGAGATTTTTAGTGTGCTCACAGTATAATTTCTATCTTTGAAATAGCATATTTATTCTACAGAATGAACATACATATGAACAGGTAGAAAAAGAAAGGTCTTACTGATTAACTAGGCTAGTGACTTCTGATATAACCTACCTGTACATCAAGCTCAGTTTAGGCTTACTGTGCAGCAGGCATTAGTGACTGTGGCTTGTAACTCTTTTCAACGAGCCTTAGAGGTGCTTATGTTTCATAAAAGCAGTGCTGTAGATGGGACTAAGTATATCTAAGCTAAGTATATCACCCTGGCTTCAACATTACATTGTGTGTGTAACGTGAGAAAAGTTGCTAAGATTTACTACAGATGTTCCTTTTAAAAACATATCTGAAAAACTTTGGTATCTTTTTCTTATCCACTGATAGCAGTCTAAACACTCTCATTTGATCAGGTTTGGTTTCACAGCATTTTCCACCCATACATTGGCTGTATAAAAAGACATAGTGATCTTATTCTATGTGAGGGTTCATGCTATTTATTTTAATCAGTCTTACACTAAAAAATAGCGAACAAACAAATGTTGCTTTCCCGACCCTGGGGAATGCAGCTGGGCAAAACCAATTGAATCAAAAGATACACCTTAATTTTGTTTTAGAGCAATCTGTGTGCAACACTATCTTTCACACTTCACTAACACAAGCCTAAATACTGCTAATGTCTTACCTTGGTTCAAAGCTTTTGTCTTTGACAATACACTCTCTCTTTTCTGGTACACCTTTCCATCTTTTGGGATCAGCTAAATCCACCAATGCGTTTGCATTGAGTAGTCCAAATCCAAATCGGCTGTTCACCATCAGTCCTGCTCCATTCTTCTTCCATCCTGGATTGACAGCCAGTGGATCGTATTCTGAGGTCCACACTACCAAGTGCTGCATATCCCTCCATGTTAGATTTGGGCTGTTGAGAAAATGATCCTGGTTAATTGTTTTGGTACTAAGTATCACTTTTCTTTTAGTTATTATTTTGCAATATGAAGTTTTTGAAATGTACCTAGTACTGAATTATTTAAAAAAACAACAACAACAAAAGACAGTGCATGCTTATCCTGGCAACTCTTTCGGTAGACAAGATTTCTATGTAAATTAAGAACTGGTATCTAGCAAGACTAGAGTCCAATCACTCAAAACCCTTTAGGCATTTAAACTTATTTAGCAAAAGCAGTATTTCCTACCAGTCTTTACGGAACCTGGGTGTGAATATTCACTGGGCATTTGATTCTATCTATTGTGATTACACTCCAATCCTTAAAATATGGTCCTAGGTATCCTGGCTTATATCATCAAAGGAGTATGCAAAAGCATATGGAGCCAAACAAGTATTATTCAAGTGCTAAGCCTACACCTTAACACCTGAAGTGAAAAGGCCACTGCCTTGTCTTGTCCTGTCCTATTCTTTATCCCCGCCCTAAAGTCATACTATCTAACTATCAGGCCTGCAGGGTCTGAACATATCTGCTCCCTGCCTGCTGTGAAAGTCAAACTTGTGTACCTTCAGTTATACGTCTCATCACTGCCAGGAAAGATTCTGCACATTGATTAAACACTTCATTCATACTCCTATATTCTATCATCTTCAAATTATGCTCTCTTGTACAGAAGTACAGCCTCAATGCCTATAAGTGCTATTGATTGACTCAATAAACAATTATCACCAATGCACTAAATGGACTGAAATTCCTTGGTCATTACATGTTACTTATGTAGGTTCTGATTTGCTAGACAGGTGTTGAGGCAGATAGCTGTTTAGTTTTGTCTTCAGGTTGAGCAAAACTGACTGACAAAAAGTGGAGCTGCAATGTGATATGCTTTAATTTTGAAATAGGCAGCGTTTGAGAGAGGACAGTAGGGAAGAGTTTCAATTGTAATTTTATGACATCTTACTTTACTTCCAGAGCAAGAGCAAAAATGCCTGCTGCCAATGGTGCAGATGCAGAGGTCCCAGTGTGAGTCTCTGTGCATTCATTGTGAAGATCAGCACTTGTCTGACAGAAAAGCAACAAAAAACAAATTGCATGAATAAACAGTAATAAATACAGTCATATCCACACTCACAAACGTAACCATGTATCTTCTACTTGGTGTGTATTTATACATTCCTTACCAGCAAAGGGAGGGATGTTTAAATTTATTCATATTTCATTCTACTCTTTTTAGTTCAACTATATTTTTTGTATCAAAATGCTTTGTGTTTGAACAAAATACTCCCACACTGAATATCTTTTTTTATTCTAAGGTTTCGTAATAAGTGTTTCAGGCCTACTGGTGAATCATAAAAACAGATCATTGTGTTGGGCCTAGAACATTTAAAATTACTGCTTACTAAAAAATTACTCATAGGATTAGTATTAGTGTTCTGCTCTCTCTTCAGCTGAAGAACTATAATTTGCAATGAAACATGTGCTTTATTTGGCAATTAAATACCAAACTCATCTGCCCATGTATCTCTAGAAACAGAAAGGGGAAACACTGAGACCTTTACAACTCAGATCTGAAGAGTAATCTCTTAGGAATTATCGGTCCGTCAGCTAACTTGCAATGACATTAGTTTAATCTTCACTCATATAATTCATTCTAAAATTACCACCAACCAGAGCTGAAAAAAAATCATAGGTCCTTCAGTATTATTTCATCACAGCAAATTTCTTTAGTACAAGTTATTTCTTGCACAGTTAATGAAGGTACAGGCTGATCTGTCCACTTACTGGGTACCTTTTATAGGTCTGCAAATACCATTGTTGTTGTCATTAGGAACATTAGGAACTGAGGGGCTAAAAATATTACAAAAAGTGTTAGAGTGACAATATGTACAGGGGCACTAACTCGTATGGGCACATTACGCTTATGAGTTCTTTTTGCATATATTCTCTCTTTGTGATGAATGGAACCATCTTCATGCATCAACCTCTGTCACACTCAAATGTCAGAAGATTTCAGCATGCTCATTTAAATGCACTGCTACAACAATTAGCCATTGTTTTACAGTAGCAGGTGTTCGGGAATACAAACATGTTTTGTACTACAAACTCCTCACTGTCTGGAAATGAAATCGCTAAGCACATAAAGCATATGAAAAGCAAGCAGTAGAAACAAAGCATTTAAGAACTCTAACTTGTTAGTTACATATATAACACATTTTAATGTTTGTTCTGAATCTGGTAAAAATAACCTACAATTCTTTGGTCAGTATAATCCCCACTGCTGTATGCTGTGGCCAGAGTTGAAGAGCACTTCTCTGCATACCAGGGAGAAAGGCCTTGCTGAGAAGCACTGCTAATGGAGATAGTGTAGATACTATCAGTGTAACCATCACAGTCACAGTTGTCACCCTGACGACCTCCATTCCCAGAAGCCCACACAAAAATGGAGCCTTTTCCATTTCGGCCCTGGAGGAAATGAAATGTGCAATTATAAAAGAGATTTCAGTTGTCATAATGCATTCTTAACAACTCCTCTTATCTCTACCATGAGACCCTAACACATCTAACATTTTCAGGTAGAAAAGGACAATCTTCTATAACATCATAGAAGACATACAGAAAAAAAAAATGCTACTTGCGGTATTCTATCTCAGATCCTATAGTACATCCTTAGTTTGTCTGTATCTTTGACAAGTCTGTGTTTAGCGTCCAGAGACAGCAATTTTCCTCAAAACAGGCATTAATGTTAAAAACTGGATCTGTGATCAACAGGTAAGTTTTTCCCACTTGACTGCGTTTGGTGCTGAACATCTGTAAGAATAACACTCTTTTTTTTTTTTCCTTTCCTGTTTCTTTTTTTACTTTTCCCTTTCTCTTTCGTTTTCCCTTTTCCCATCCTTTTTTCCTTTTCCCTTCCCTTTTTCTTTTTTTTTCCCTTTCCCTTTTTCCCTTTCCCTTCTCTTTCTGTTTCCCTTTCCTTCCTTTCCCTTCCCTTTCCATTTTTCCTTCTCTTCCTTTCCTTTCCCCTTTCTCTCTCCCTCTCTCTCTCTCTCTGTTTCCCTTTCCTTTCCCCTTTCTCTCTCCCTTTCTCTTTCCCTTTCCCTCTTCCTCTTCCTCTCCCTTTCCCATTTCCTTTCCCTTTCCCTTTCCAGTTCATCAGGAGTTATTTCACTTGCATTTGAATCATAGGTAACCAGTGAAGATGATATACTTAATATGACTCTTCCACCATTATTTTTTTGTAATAAAGTCTTTCATTGTTAGCACTTGCTGAAAAACAGAAAACCAGTAAGCACATCTGGCTGAAAACCCTCCCTTCTCTTACAAATCCATGAACCAGCACCAGCAATCTCAGGACGTAATCATTCTCACTCCCTGCTTGAGCCTTCAGTGTGTAATAAGGTACCAACAGCTAACAACTGATGCTGACAGCTGACAACAGAGTGCTGCAGTAGTATGTGAACCATCACAGCTATCACAGAGAAAGCATACGCCAGCTATTCAATTCAGTCTTATGCTGAGATAGTCCTTTAGAGGAGACAATGCATTTTGTGTGAGGAGCAAAAGTTTGTATTTTATTAATACATGTATATTCACTGGAACCTGCAGTTGAAATACATTCCTACTCAGGTAAGATTTATTCATGCAAGCACTGAGTGATTTATTCATTTGCAGAACTTAAAACATTAAAAATAAAGATAACAAAGCAAAAGCTGCACTCTTTTTGAAACAGTTGCAAAAATATGCAGGACAACCAACATCCATTATAGAAAATGAGATAATATTTTGTTTTGAGAATCAAGGCTGCAGTCCAGAAAGGCAATGATATATGTAAACAGGTGTTTGATTTCTGATGGAGTGCTCCTAATGGCTCACAGATGCTTACGGCTATGCACATGCTTAAGTGCTTTACTGGGCCAGCAATAAAGGGGTCAGGGATTAAACTTAACTTTGTTGGCAATCCCATCTCTAAGTAACTTGATGGGGAATGAAGAGCATTCAGATCCTCGCCAGAGGAAGCCTGACAAATTAAATTTAAATTTGATCCCCTCGTTAAACAGAACAAGTGGGGGGGAAAAAAAGAAAAAAAAAAACAACAACAACAACAAAAAAAAGTACATTCTTTACCAAATAACCTGTTTTTTCCAAGTAAAACCATTGAACCTGGTTCCTTAACTGCTGCTTTTCGCTGTCCCTCTTTTCTTACCGTGTACATCTGGACTGAGGTGCTTGTTATCAGAAACCCATTTCTCAACTCCACTCTTCCCTCAGAGCATGCCACCTCTCAGACTTGCCTTTTTTTCTTCTCTCCTGTCTGCTCTGTTTCCAGTATCCTCTTTTGCTCTGCTCTTTCCTTCATGCGTTCTCCATTTTCCTCCTTTCTTGACTCTGATTCACATTTCCTTTCTATATTAGTGCCTGTCCATCTTTAGATATCTTTTCACCTCACTGGCAAGAGCAAGAGCAGTTTTTTGACAGATCCCCAGTAGCTCTGTTAGTATCCCACTTATCATCCAATGAGGTCAAAAAAGCATAACAAAAAAACCACAGCAACTTGTAAAACCACTGTTTCCATCACTCTTCATTATGCTTTTTTGCTATCTTCACTTTAATTGGAATGTGATATGCATTTATTTATAAACTAATGCAACTAACACAATACAAACCCATCTACAGAGAGCTAAAATGCATCAGTATTTCATACAGCAAAATATTCATGAAGCAGAAATTTTGTATTAAGTTTTTATAGGCTTTCAGTGCAGAAATCCAATTACTGTTCAGTGCAAAATAAGCGGCAGAGAAGGGTGGGGGTTGGGTGAGATAGAGGCAGCAGAAGTAAGGATGGAAGAAGAAAGCTTATCTGTAGAGAATACCAGCTAAAACAAGCTTAAGAAGGCTCTAATCGCACCTTTTTGAAAGTCATGTTCTAGCTGGTATTTTCTGACCAGTACTGTTCTGCTTTTCAGTTATGTGAATAGAGCACAAACCATTTTCATTTCCTGCCTGAGACAAACCATTTTAAAATTCTGTCCTCTGCCACATTTTATTGTATTTTTTTTTTTTTTTAAAGTATCATACCTGTTTTATCCCATACTCAAAAGCTTTCTGTGCCAGCCTCCCAGGTCCCTCAACAGTTTTACCGTCATCATTTGGGCCCCAGCTTGCACTGTAAATATCCACGTGTTCTGGATTGAAACCAATTGAACTGGCTTCAATAGCATCAGTGACTATTCCATCCAGCATGCGTATACCTTAACAAAGAAAAACAAGCAGATTGTATTTACTTTCTGTTTCCCCTTTCCCCTTTGTTACCTGACTGTTGCATTTGCAGCAAAATTTATCTAAAGCAACTGCACCACAGCCTATTGCTATTCATTTAAATAATACTCAGGCCAATGCAAAACAGTACACTTACCCTTTTTGCAAAGCTTGGGACTCTACACATTGAAAAAAAAAAAAAACAACCTAAAATCTTGATTGCACCTTATTGACTCTTTTTTCTCTTTTTGCAGAAAGCCAAGAAGATGATGTTTCATTTAGTGTTCCTGTTTTCTTGTTATTACATTGAGCTTTTTTTACTTCACTCTTTTCCAACTAAGTCTGCAAAAGACTTCTTCACTGAAATGGCTATTGTATCATTAAAACTACATAGGTTTTACCAACGCTATTTTTAAGGGTTAATTATGACTGTGCTGACTGATACACTTGGTCCTGTCTGCCATTAAGCTTGTTCTGTATTTGTGATCCTATTTCACCAGTTCTTCATTCTTCATGACAAAAAATTCTCGTTGCTGTTTTACTACCACATTTTTTTCCCACTGTGAGCAATCCAGAGAGACTAGTGATATCTATCATTAACATTTTATTAGGTACTGCCTGATCTAATCTTCAGAGCAAGCTCGAGATCAGTGGTATTTAAAATTCAGCAGCAGACAATGGCTCATCTGCACTGGATCTCTTGCTCTGCAAACTCCAGCCCTGCAATAGGATTGCTACCACTGTCCAGGACTGGATGAGGAAAGAAACAGCAGTAGTCTGGCAACCACTCTGGTAGCTTCTCCCAGCAACAGTAGCAATAGATGAGCTACAGGAGTCAGGACTCAGCCCATTTTCAAGAAATAAATATTCTCCTGAACCTGCCAAGCTTATACTACAGCAGTATGAGTACTATAGAATTACGTGTTCTCATTTCCTAGTATTTTCCACTAAATGGGAATTTTTCCAAAACACATCAAGAAGAATGTGACTGTTCTAGAAAAATGAAAAAGAAAAAAAGCTCTTCCTCTTGCATCTATGTGTGTCATTCTTCCTTTTCACTACTAATCATTAAAAAAGCATAACTTTGTGCACAGAGACAAACCCCAAGACTCCTAAAATCATTTGTGAGAAAGCTGAGCTTTATTATTTAATAATATTTACGAGGGGAACTTACAAGCAGGTGGGAGAACTACACAGTCTGGTTGTAATAGGACAAGAGGGAATTATTTTAAACTAAAAGAGGAAAGATTTAGGTTAGATGTGAGGAAGAAATTACCAGAGAGCGGAGAGGCCCTGGCTCAGCTGCCCGGAGAAGCTGTGGTGCCCCATCCCTGGAGGCACTCAGGGCCAGGTTGGATGGGGCCCTGGGCAGCTGAGCTGCTGGGGGGCAGCCCTGCCCACGGCATGGGGTGGGGCTGGGTGGGCTTTATGCTTCTTTCCAACTCAAACCATTATATGATTCTATGGTTATTTCACATTAGTAAGTGACAAAAAGGGACAAGGGAGTTAATTTGCTCACTGATGCCACTATCACTCATAAAGCTGAGAAAAGAATCAAGGTATATCCTGTGCCTCAGGTTCTAAAAATACCACTTACCCTCCAGAGGCTTAAGCTTCTAACATTTTGAACACTCCTATTTCAGGTGGCTTAGAATTGTGAGATTCAGTCATAACTGTGAGCAAAGATCTGCCTGTGTGAAAATGACTGAAAGCTTTGGGCACTGGGTTGTAATATATCATGAGATAGTGGGAATGCAGAGAACAGTATACAGATATATCCCAAACAAGCCAAGCCAATGCAACTGACAAATAATGTAGCAAGGAATAAAACAAGATCATTGGTAACAAACTGATAAAAATGGCTCAAGAAAAAAAATAAATAAATCATTGCCTTGTTTTTGTAATCTCCAGAAATGCTGCATGTTTAAGCCAACCCAGAGATATGATGACTGCAGTAATATTTCCCTAAGCAGATTCCAATGATCTGCTCTTGCATAAATTCTTCCGCATGCCTTCTCTCATCATCAGTCCCACAAATTGAAAAGCAGGCAAAGCCCAAGGTAATTTCAGAGATGTATATACATTTGCATGGCAGAAGGTTATTCTTAGCAACACATCATTATGTGGGAATTCTCAGCCCAGTCCTTTGTAATATGGAGCTTCTTCATCGTTTGATTTCCATGGTAGTTCCAAAGAAATGCTGTAGCATGGTGTGATGGATAGATATGCACGAAGATATATAAACCCTGCTTTACTCCAAATACACACACGTTTCTTAGCTCTATCCAAAGCAAGAGGTTCACATTAAAAGAAACTGAAAGGTATCGCTTTTAAAATTGACATTAGTAAGCATTTGCTTCACACCATACACAGAAAAGCTTCACAGATACAAGGTCTTGAAAAGACTCATGCAGATTTCAGAACAAGGCCAGACATTAACATGACAAATTAGAACACCCGAGATTGTTAGACAGTATTTTTAGTTAGTATTTTCATGGAAAATAAAGGATTATGAATTGACTATTTTACATTAGGACAAAGTTAAAGCATTCTCTGCTGTTGAAGGTCAGAGAACAGCATACTCCAAGTGTCAGAGTCACTTTCTCTAAAGCATATATTCCTGACTATCAGAGAGAATGCAGTGGCTCTGGACCACTGGATTCATGCAGCATGCCAAGTGATACAAGGAAATAACTGCTTAGAAAAGCCAACCTGAACTAATATCAAATAGAAGTGTGAGATGTATCATTTCATACACTTAAAAAGAAAAAAAAAAAAACTGTAAAGAAATAAATCCTGCGTAACTCCCACCTCAAAAAAGCCTTCCAGTGACCACTCAGAGCAAATTCCAAATCTAGCTAATCCTTTGAAGACTCCTCTTATTGCTCTTTGAACGAGTTTTTGTTACATCCCTAACACAATTGGGGTAGTCATGCAGACCAGCTCACAATTTATTTCAACTTTCCTAATTTTCTCCTTCCTTGTCCAATTACAAGCAGATTTCTGGGATTTGGAGTGCTGGATTGCTTTTCCTCCTGTTATTTTCCTTTTGTAGACAAATCACCCAGCACAGATTTCTAATACGCATTTGCAAACGAAAACTGTGGAAAAACCTTCTGTGTAGATATAAGTACCTTAAAATAGTGACACAGCAGGAGTTCAGACATCACTGCAGCTTCATCCATTTTGCCTTGCTTTGAAAATCTGGCATCTTCATCTTGTGAGTGAGATATTTTATTTAAACAGAGCATGACAGCATAATGCATTGTGGCAAAGGTAGAATGCAAAGCTGACAGCTCAGCAGAGTAAATGGAACCTATGAACATAAGACTAAAATGGTGGGAATGGCAGTTAAAGGTGTCAATTGCCACTTAACATCCCTTTGTTTAAAGAAAAAATGGAAAAACCAGGGCTGTAACAAGTATCTTCCTCTGAGCTAAATGACCATTTACTACTGATACTTCAATTATAACTATTTCATAAATCACTAATGGATTAAACTTTTAATCACCTCTTCAAAAAATGAAAATACTGACTGATGGACAAGAATAAATACCTATTTTCAAAATTAATTTACGATGATAATAACCACAGCACTATGAGTACCTGGACTGACATGACTTTTTGAAAGTAACTGTGTAGATGGAAATAATACGCTGTAAGCAAAGGTGGGTATAAATTTGGATGTATTTTCTTCTATTCTTCTCAAATCCTTCTCTTCCCCCATGCCATCTTCTCCCAAAATAACCAGCTATAAGAAGTGAATCTGTTGTTCTTTTAAAGAAACAGTCTTATCTCTGGGTACAAAATAGACAGTTTTTACTATCCATATTATTATTTTCTTGTTATTATTTTCTTTTTACATATTATGTAATCTACCTATATTGAAGTGAAAACCAGAATCCAGAAAATATGTTGAAATTTAAGAAACAGTGTCACTCTATCCTGGAGCCTATAAGTGCAAGAGTGATGCTTCCTGGTTTCCATTCACTTCAGACAACTAACTATTCTTGGTTTCTTACCTCCAACTTTAGCATTGTAGGCTACTCCAACTCCACATTTTCTGTTGTTGGCTTGCATGGCAATTTCTCCTGCACACCGTGTTCCATGCCTGGATAAATATAGCAAGAATAAATGACTTCTCATAACCTAGATACTTCCATGTAACATATACAAAAACTCATCAGAGACTTTCTTGATGTGGTGGATGTCTTGAACAGAATGTAATGCTGCTATTGAATAGCTTTGGTATTATATTCACATTATACAAAAATATTTGTTTGCCTTAGACTTCAGTCTCTATAATTTTACACATTTAATCATCAAATAATCATCATGACAAGATGATAAATAACTAATCTAAGCCTTACTGACCTATTAGTTACACTTGTTTTAGCAGAGCATAAGAGCAGTGTCAAATTATGTGGCAATGACGTTAATTTTTTTCAGAACAAAACATGAGTCAGACTTTTTTAACCACATTTTTAGATATTCTTTTTATTTTTTCTAAGGACTGTCTTTATTTCTTTATTTAGAAATGTATTAAGTTAGCCTGTTAAGTATATTCACCATTGCTGAATTTTTCATGTAACTATGTACATACTATGCAATTTTATTTTTTTTTTTGCTGCAGGCAATTCTTTACTCTTTGGTACAGAAAATCTTCAGGTAAAGATAATTGTAGAAGAGTTTTATTATTTAGCACTACAGATTGTTATTCAATGAACTGTTTGAATGCTTCTGGGCTGAATTCCATTTACTTATTAATAAAGATTCGGGATAATACAGGTAGATATAAGAGATAAAGTCATCAGAGAAAAAGGATAATGTACTCTTGCTCTTAAATAACGCTGTAGTAAAGTAGAAATGTCATTTTTCAAAAGGCTTGTTCATTGGACATTTATCCATTGATTGACTGTTTTTTTCCCCACATCATGATTTATGTTGTTGTGGATGCTATCATACTCTGGACAGACAATAAAGAACGAGTGCTTTGGTTTCTTATTGCATCTTCATTGAATAGTGGCATCCCAATTGTTTTAATAAATTGACTTATTCTGTGCACCAGCTTTTAAACAGTTCCACTCTTTTCTCCCTCTGAAGGACAACACCCTCACAGAACTACTGTGAATACTCCCACAGTAACAGATCCACTGTGATGTCTCATTGAGTACCAGAGTGGTAGATCAAGAGAATTCCCCACTCCTTCCAAGACACACAGGTCCACAAAACAAACTGGCTGGTGCCTGTGTTCAAACTTTCTGAAACTTCCTAAATTATCACCTTGAAGACACTCAGGCCAAAACTGGTCCACAATGCTTCCAGATACCTTTTACCTGAAAGATTTTCCAGGAAGTGAATGTAACCTTCTTCACAATCGCAGCCATACAAACCGATGAAGTCAGAAGCATGACTGCACCTGTGCCCATTTGCACAGAGCTAGAATACATGCTATTAGCCCAGAAGGTACTGACAAAATCACAATGTCCTAAGCTACAAGAAATGGCCAGGTGGGATGAGATTTTTTGGGCAGTTTTCTAAATTCCTCTAAGAAACTGTATCTTACAGAGTCCTTCACAAGAGATATATTTTAAGTTTCCCAGAGCAAAACAGGGAAAGTCAAAATCTGCTTCAGTAGATATTATTCTACAAACACACAATGGGATATGAACAGATTTTTCTGTTCAACTTACAGAAAAATATCAGACTTCACACATACTATGATATGGAGAAACTCATTACGTGAAAATTTAATTTCTTTAATTTCCAGAGTCTGTGAAAACATTTGTGTGAATGAAAATACTGGAGGTTCTGTCTGAGCATTAGGAAACTGTGAGTGCTTTCTGAACACCGGCACAAGCTGATGAAAGAGGTTGCAGTCTCCATCCTTGGAGCACTCAAAAAGCTTCTAGAACAAACTTCTGGGCAACCATCTCAAAGGGTATCTGACAGAGCAGGGCTTGTACCAAACTGGTCCAGAGATTCCTTCCAACCTCAATCATTCTCTGATTCTGTGGCACAAATTTTCCTTTCATATATAATTGCAATAGGGGTCATACATACTTCCACACTTGCATGTTGTAACACACAAAGTACTGCACTGTTTGGTTCTCTTCATACAACTGGGAGGTTACTCACTTGTTTTCGTTTGTTGGGTCATATCTAGGAAATGGATCATGGTCATTGTCATTGAAATCATAACTTGCCCTTGGATCCTGCATTTAAAATAACAGAATTAATTGGGACAACCAGGAAATAGATTTTTAAATGTGTAACAAAATGGGTTCTAGTGCCTGTATTTATTCAATTGACGTGCTTCATCCTGGCAGCAATCAAGTGCATAGAATTTGATGAACATTAACAATTCCATAAATTTTTCATGGAGCTTTAATAATTCAGCATTAAACCACTGTACACAAACACATACACAACTAAATCCACTGAGAAAAAAAGAAGTTATCTTTGCTAAGTAACATTCAACTTCCTGTGACACAGACCAGGTTCCAAATAATGCCTGAGTCAAACATTTCATTCTCACTAATGTAGGAGCTGCCTTACAGAACAGAGAGCAAGATGGAGACAGCAAGAGCATCTGCAGATCAAATTTACAATTAGTTAACCTATTCAACAGCAATCTAATGCCCAAACTTACATAGTTGGAGTAAATGTCAGTGTGATTCCACTCCAATCCATCATCTAATACTGTGATGACAACACCCTTGCCTGTAATCCCTTTTTGCCACACAGGAATAACGTGGAGATCCAGTTTGGGAAGAGATGGAGTTATTCTTGTATCTTGCTGAGGAACAGAATGGATTACAAATGCGTTAATATTTGCATCCACTCACAACACACAGATTCAAAGACATATTCTAAATGTTCTTTAAACCATTCCAGGCTGAATTTGTATACTTTGTTCAAACTTTGAAGAAATAAAACAAAAACCTGTAGTATGTTCAAATACCTGTAGTACCAAAAGACAGCACCCTGGTTACCTGAAGCTTCCACCTCTGAATAAAAAGCACCTTGTGTTTATTAGAGGTACACAACAGAAAGATGGGAATGGTAGAGATATAGCCATGATCCTTGGAAAGCTGAGTTAATGATCAGACCTACTAACTGTTCCTTTCTCCTGATGAGAAGGCATTAAGTAGCCCACAGCACAGTAAACTGTATTTTCTCCAAACGTTTTCTCCTTTGACATTCAAGTTAGCCAGAGCAGAATAATTAATGGCTAAAACAATTAAGGCAGCCGTTTGGCTAGGAACAACTGTGCTGAATCACAACTTTCTGTTTACTACCCTCATTACTGTTCCTGTGGTAAATCAGCTGAAAGCGTGAATCATCTAGAGCCTTCCTTTGCACAGCAAGTGGAAGTGCTCTCAGAAGAGCATTTCCTAAGCAGGTCATTTTTCCTCTCTAATATTAAATGTGCAGTGCATACATTGAATTTTGAAGCTTTACTTATTACACTATAAAAATGGAGACATAAAACCCAGCACTATGTGTTTTCCTGTGCACATTAACTTAGTTGATCACAGGTTTTTAATTTCTTTGTTTCCAAGAGAATATCGGACAAAATACTAGGCTCAGAGGAAGAAATATGTTATGACAATTCTTTCAATTTTTACTTTATTTTCTGACTGCTGCTATTGAGGGAATTTTTGAAGTTTCAAGTTTTGTTCTCTGGATTCCATAAAAAAAAACATTTATTCCTGGTATTGGTGGAAGGCACACATAACAGAAGTTAGAAACTGTTGTCATTAATCAGATAATAAGTAATTTACCACAAGGCAAGGATAGATTTTGGAAGAAACTATTTGATGCACTTATGCATTTAGTCAGAAAAAAATCAATGTGTACTGCAAACAAGTGTAAGCATCTCTCTGTTTCTCATATGGGTAAATCGGAGGAAAAAGGGGCGAAAATCACACGAAGGTGGGAAGTGGAACTATGTCTCTTATAGAGCAGGACTTTGCTTCTTTTGAAAAAAAAAAAAAAGAAAAGAAAAGAGTTTTTGAACTCTTGTGCTTTTGTCCATTAGTCCTTTACAGACATCTTGGATATCTCCTGCTTCCTATTAAAAGCAGGCAAGCAAGCAAGCACATTCTCAGCTTCAAAGAAAAGTAACATTCTTAAAAATAACCATTTTCTATGTTGAAAAGAAGTCTGTAGTAGGAAATATTTTATGTTATGTGTTTTGAAGAAAAAAAAACAGCACTCGGGCTGTGCTTGCACTTTGAACATCCTTCTTGCTATACATCTTTTAACCTATCCCCATTCAGAGTGAAACACTGACATCTAGACTGAAAGTGCAGTGAGATGCCTTGTGGAAATACAGACTCTCAAAAGAAATTGTACAAAATATAAGTGATTAACTGTATTTCTGATTTGTCATATTCAAGGTAGAGAGGTTAGGAAATCTCTTTTTCTTGAGGTTTTGAACACGTGAGCTACACAGAATCTCTTCTACTTACATCCTTGACCAAGAGGTTCAAGGTACCTGTTATATGTGCATGCATGCCTTTGATTTCTGCTGGAGTATGCTCTCCACACTATCACTTTTAATGAAGGAATCTGCACCCAGCTTCAGACATGATAAAGGAATTCTTACACACTAACAACAAACATTTTTAAGCTAAAGGTAGATTTTAGCTAATATATCATGTTCTATTATCAGCCCCTCGCTCTGTTACTAATAAAATAGTACAGTTGATAGCACAACCGAAATTCATTGCCCCCAGTTCCACAGTAAGGCAAATTCTTACCAGATACCACTGCTTATTCCACATAGGATCATTGAAGAGATTCACTGCCGAGTCTGTCACAGCCGCACGCTTAGTTCGCTTTTTTTCATACTGCTGCTCTGCCCATGACACCTGCAGTTATTTACATAGATGGGAGAAGTAAGCCATATACATGGGGACTTTCTTAGCCCAAAGGATAAGGGTTTCCTCACACAGAAAAATATTGATGCCTAATGCAAAAAAAAGCAACGTCTGATGCAGAGAGGAAGATTATTTATTTTGTAATACAGTGTACTTCAGGAAAGAGGACATGGTGAAATCACTATGCAGTGCAATTAAAATCATAAAGTACAAGTTAGCATTTGAGCCCCAGTGAATTCCAAGCAAAGCTGGCTTTTATATCAAATGTGCAGTATGGTGAGAAGGTTATTTAAGAAGGAAATCTACAGCCTGCTTCTTTATCCTACCTTCATTTTAATGCCTATTGACTAGAAGTGGGAGTTCAAAGAAAAGATGAAAGATTATCTCAGGCTTTAGTCTAACAATCATATCTACAATGCTATCCACAGGGACCTTCAAGTCTCCTTCCCATTTGTGTTCTGAGGTATGATCAGTTATTAAACTATGAATATGGGTCTAATTTCATCACTGGCATTATTCCACTTAAGGCAACTGAGCCAAAACATTTCAGTGTGTTTTGTTAATGCGTCCTTACACTGAGTTGCGTAGCATTTGAGCATGAACACAGCATTCTCTAAGTCACAGGGCAACATTTTAAATTTGTTTCTCACTCTTGTTCCTTTCAACGCATTACTAAAAACAGTTCAAAACATTCTGATACCCGTTTCTATTGTGTGCTCCTTTTGGAAATGGGAATAAACATTACCCACTGCTAGTATGTGGACAGTCACTCTGACACAGACTCAGGTGATGTTTTCCCAATTTCCTAACAAGCAAAGCAAGCTCATGTTCAGGAGACTGGCAAGATCCTGCTGTGAGCCTCAGGTGGAGACTGCCTTCAATCTAAACCTTCTGCTTTAAACATCTGAATAGATTTCAGCATTTTTGCCTGCTGTCATCCCATAACTTCATGCTCCTGACATCTCCTGACATCTATCATTGTATATAACAAGAGTGAGTTGGAAACTATTATAATAAAGATATGTACTGATTTGATTTAAATACCTTTTTTTTTTTTTTGAAGGAGAACTTAATGAGAATTCACCGCAAGAACATAAACCGTTAAAAAGAGAAGCTACACCAGGCACATATGCTGAAAGCTAATGACGTTCCCTGTGCAATATATTTAGAGCAAAAACCCCTAAAAAGCACCATCAGTCACAGAAGATGAATATGCCAATGCAGGTGTAAGCATTCTAAATTGCATTACTGATACACAAGGCTGTGTGTAGTTGTGCCCAGGTTATAACAATTGCCTTTATCCCTCCTCCATGCCCACAGCAAAGCCTGGCCTCTTCATCAGCCAACAGTAATTAAGAATTGACAGCTTCCACGCTCACCGTTTTTTGATGCGGACAGCTGCTCTGAGGGAAATGAGCTGGAACTACCAAGCACGTATGTCTGACAAACAAGCCAAATGTTTGTCACTCAGCAGCTGAGCGAGATTCAGGCTACCCATCCACTGCAAGAGTAGACGGCCCTGTGCCAGATCTCCACTCACTGGTACGCAAAGCAGTGAAAATGATTGGGATCCAGGTCCCTACTGCAAGAAGTGAGGAAACCACACAACTGTATCCTTTTGAAACATTCAGTGCCATCGCCTGTTTTATACAAACACTGGGATGCCCATAGCAGATATAAATTTTCAGGTTAGAGGCAAGCTTTGCCCCCAGCTGTCACTCTTAACGTGCTGTAAGAATCACAAAGGCACTACGCAAAGAAAAGCAGGATTGTCTTCTTTCCCCCTCCCTCTTTTAAGAATGAATTTAAATCTTTTTAGTGGCTGTTGCTCTTTAGAGGAAAGGTCGGTGTATAACTACACAGCACTGCATGATTACTTTGTGTTTATATACTTACATAATGACATAATTACACCTAATTCATTCAGATCGTTAATTTGCATATTAGATGGTAAATAAAAGGGAAATTGGAATAAATTTAACAGATCACCTGCAGCACTGGAAAGCCACTTTTGAAGTCTAACTATGTAAGTCTATAGCAGTGTATAAATCCCCACAAAAAGACAAAACGTCTCAACTTGAAAGGGACCCACAGGGATCATCCAGTCCAACCCCTGCCTGGCTCCACACAGCACACCCAAAAACTAAATACTGTGTCTGAGAGAGCATTAATCAAAATGCTCACTGAACTCCAGCAGTTTGAGGCAGCTGTTAAGAATTAGAAACACAAACTTTATTGATGATTACTTATACTGAAATCTGGCTTTGAATACCCCCATTTTATAATGATTTAACCTCAAAGATTATAACTGTTACAACAGTGAGTGAAAGGAGGTAGATGGGAATGGGCAGCTCTGAACCAGAACATGCAAAACAAATACGCAGCCTTTATCCTTCCCTTAATTCTTCATAAAATCTATTCTCCCAGGTGACATTTACATCCAAAAACTTCACTCAGATAACCAATTACTTGCCCTCAAGTGATTTGTCCTTACATGACTCAAAGTGCTCACAATGGAGATACTTGACATTTTGGACCGCTGCTGCAATAAAGCTGATCTGAAATTCAAATGTCAGTGTTCTGATATGTGTCTGATATTGTTTGACAGCATCCTGCTCTTTCCTTAAATTTGCCACTCACTGCTCTCCTCACCACATTTACAAGCAAGGAAGCTTCTCTTAAGTACAGGCAGAGAAATGGGGAGCCTGCTCCATGGGTCATGTCTTAGGTACAGTTCATAGTAACTCCCTTTCCCCCCCCCCCCCCCCCCCCCAGTGTTCAATCACATTAAATCAAACCTGATTTCCACAGCAATCGGATTGCATCACTGTTTTTTTTTACTTAAAACTCTGTGGTTCCTCGATCATATTTTCATCAGCAACAGATCTGAAATTCCAAACCTCTGCAGTGCTGCATATCTGAAATCTGCAACTGGAAAGCACTTGCAAAAAAAGTGTTGAGAGGATCAGACTCTGCCCATTAATGACAGAATAATTAAGTATTATTCAACACAAGCCAAACGCTGAATGCATCAGACTTGCAAAGCGAGGAAGGTCTGCCAGTGACCTCATCAGGCAGTGGCAATTCGCTGCCGGAACGGACAGAGGAGAAGAAGGGATGCAATACTCACCCGCTCATCATCAGAAAGCCTCTTGGTGATGTGAATGGCACTTCTCCGGGACCGCCGTGGATGGCTCTTATGTCTGAACAGGTAGTGATTTTTAAGCGACCCAATCTGCAAGAGAGAGGTGCACCTTCACTCTGGAAAGGTGTTTCCTGACAGATAACACATACCAGTACTCACAACCAACAGCACTGCTTTGTGCCTGAAAGGGCAAGGAACCAGCCTTCAACTGTATTAATGGCAGTAAAACCTTACTCAAGTACTTAATGCTTATCACAGACTTATCACCGAAGGTATGGGGAATAGTTTTATTTACAGTTGCACTCATTACTAGCAGAGCAGTCAGCACGGCAGTGCCAGCTCCAGCACCACCACAGACAGACAGACTGACAGACTGAGTGGCTGACAGGCTGACAGACGGACCGACTGACTGATCGATCGATCGACCGGCTGTCGGACTGACGGGTACAGCCGCGCTCCCACAGCAGAACAGTTCCAGCCGCGGCACTTGGCTGGGCCGCCCCTGCCCGCGGCTCAGCTGCGAGAGCTCCTTGCGGCTGCAGGACCCGCGCCGCTCCGGCACCGGCTCTCGGAGCGAGCTGCCCCGGACCCCGGCCGGAGGAGGGACGGAGCCGTCACCCACGGGCGGTTACTCATCCCTGACAACGCTGACGTCACGGCATCCCGAAAAAGCGCCGGGAGGGCCTGCGGGAGAGCGGCCCCGCGACGGCGCCCCAGGGCGGGGCGGGGAGCCGGGGGGCCGAGCCCCGTCCCGCCCGGAGCCCCTCTCCTCCCCTCCTCCCCCGAGCCGCTCGCGGGAACGGCGCCCGCAACGTCCCCGAGCTCCGCGGGCACCGGCCGGAGGGCAGAGCCCCGGGGGGCCCCGACCCGTCTCCCGCCCCTACCTGCCCCACGAGGTCGTAGTCCAGCTCCTCGGCGATGGCTCTGGCGGCGTCGGGGCCCGCCGGGACCTCGGCCGCCCACTCGTTGAGGAACTGCCGCTCGGCGCCGCCGCCGCGGGCCAGGCAGCAGGCGACCAGCAGCGCCAGGGCCGCGCACCGACCGGCTCGGCGGGGCCCGTCCATGGCTGCGGGGCGGCGGGACGGCGTTGCTAGGCGAGCGCTGCCCGGCTCGGCTCGGCTCGGCTCGGCTCGGCTCGGCAGGGCTTGGCGCGGCGCGGCACAGCTCAGCGCGGCTCGGCTCGGCGCGGCTGCCCGGGGCTGCGCGGCTCCCAGACCCTCCGGTGCCGGAATGGAAATGAGTGTTTACACGTCAAAACGACGACAGCCATCCTGACGTCAAGTGTACCTGGCCCCCGAGCGGGGTGGTGATTCCCCACGGGGCGGGCGCTCGGACGGGCGGCGGGGGCGACGCCCCGGGGCCGCGGGGGGGGGAGCCGAGCCCGCTGCCGCGGTGCGCGCAGAGCCCGCGGCGGGGCGGCGCTGGGGGGTCGGGATTAGACGCTCTCGAATCTCCTCACGATCCGAGAGAATGGAACGTGTGTGTTCGAATGGAGCTCCCGACCCGGGACTGCGGGATTGAGCGATGGGCGTCCCTGCCTCCGAATCCCATAGGGATGCGGCGTGAATTGGCGCTCGTTGCCTAGCCTGGCGGGGTGACAAATGTCCTCCCCCTGAAACGGGACTGCTCTCTGAATTTAGCTGTTATTCAACTTTTAAACTGGACGTTTGAATGTCAGAGCTTTAACGCTGAGTGCGGTAGTGTAGCAGGTACACCTACCCAGCTCCTCGTTGGCTTTTAGAATAGGAAGAGCTTGGACGACGTAAACGCGAAACGAAGACGAGTGAAAACAAGGCACTTTTCACAGGCTGGCTTTCCAGCAGGTGGGGTGGGCACGGAGTGAGAGCTTCGGGAGGCCCCTACCTGTCTCCCGCTGCGAGCACTGCGGGTGGAGCGTGGGCAGGGCACCCGCGGAGCAGAACGGAGTGGGAGTCCGAGTGGGGCTCGAGGGAAGGGTGTGTCCGCAGCGAGTGCACCAAAGCACCGACATCGCTGAATGTCAGTACAGAATGTCCATAAAATTATGCTACACCGTGCTGACATTCAGCAGCACTCGCTTTCTGCAGCATTCTAAGGGCAGCCCGGGGTTTGTCAAAGTCAAGCTAGGGACTGGTTGTGTTTTCTGTTCAATTCAATTTATTGTATTCACCACAAGATTTTCTCAGTGCTTACTGCCAAAAATGTATTTTCCTTACTTTTCTGGACAGATGCCATATAAATCCCTCAGCTCCACTTCTAGCTGTGTTCCTGAGGCTGCCTGTAAGTGTGCTCTTCCTGTCAAACCGTCTCTGGGTCCATGCAGGCTTTTTCCTGTGTCAATTTTGTCAGTACTGTTGTACTCAGAACACAAAGGAATTTTCACCTCTCGGTTCTCATCACTGCTATTGCACTTTGGTTTCAATTATGTATTTGATACTCCGCACCCGCATGGAAACAACTGTGCACAGAAATGAAATGAAAGCCACTTATCAGTATGGTGATGATTTATATTCACAAGACTCCCTAGGACTGCCTTGAAAATCTGCATTTTCTTTTCCAAATTCTTCATTCATTTCACTGTGCTTTATTCACGGGGAAATCATTTTGTTCAGACCTGGAGTTAGGTGTGCACAGGTGTCTGAGCCCTGGCAGAAAACAAGCCACACGCTCTGCAGACTTGGCTGTCCCATCCATTAATGAGCACTGCTGTCCAACCCTCTGCTCCCATCTAATAATAGCACAATGAAAGGAACAGCTTGCTCAGCAGCCTCAGGTGGAGCCAACAGTAATTGTTCCATGCTCCACGAGCATTTCAGGTTTGCTGTTTACCTCTGGAAGAAACACATAGCCCCTAGTGCACCGCACGGTATTCCAGTGAGCACAAAATCAGACATAAGAACAATTATAAAAAGATTATTTCTGCAGTATGGCTTACATTTAACTTGGTTTTCCAGACAGAGTTACTTCTAAGTGAGTTGGCTTCTGGTAAGGATTTCTTTTCTTCTTGTGGAGAAATGTTAGCAAAGAAATGCTTGGTTTTATTTTTAATGTGATCACTGAGTAGGAATCACTTGTTGATGATCAGGATTCTTCCCATGCAGGGCACCCACCTCGAGGGTATTTGGAGGAGCTTCTGTTCATGTTTGGCTCTTGGGTATTGAGAGAAAGATGATAATGGACATCTCCTCATACATCCTGAAACCCCATTACACTACTATAGGATACAGCCACTGTACAGACATTATTTCTTGGAGCTTAATTGGTTTTGTGTGCATGTTTTGGGTTTTTTTTTCTTTCCTCCTTCTTCTCAAGAGGCTTCTATGATTTCAAGCTCTAGCTGTATGTTCACATTCTAATTTCTGATCCTTCACAAAATGTCCATGAGAAAGGGAGACAGACCGGCTTTGAGAAGCCAAATGCTTACAGACAAAGTCCTGTTCTCTGCTTGTTACTAGGGCTAAAATACTTACACATGGTAGCTCGTGTTTGAACCCGAAGGCTGGCACTGAGGAACATGGTTGGTGGCCATGGTGAGGGTAGACTGATGGTTGGAATAGACGATCTTAGTGTTCTTTTTCCAAACTTGATGATTCTAAGAATCTGTTAGTGTTTTTGAGCTCGACTTGCTGCTTAGCTGCTATGGCATCATTTAGGATACCTGGTCCTGTTTGCTGCAGCATGTGCTGGTGAGAAGGCTCTGCTGGATGCCTGGCAAGCAGGGGCCAGGAAGGGAGCAGAGGCTGGCGTTTGCTCTCTGCTCTAGTTGGTGCTGCTTGTTTCACCACATTCCAACTGGCAGCAAATCCACCCTGCCACATTTCTGCTTGAGATCAGTCAGCGCAATGCAGACACTGTTCTGCCAGATGAGGATATGCTGGAAAGTTCAGAAGCTTTATCACCTCTGAATGGCAGCTGGTATCCAAATAAACATATTGATTATAAGGTAAAAGCAAAAGCACAAAACCCTGAAACTTATGAAGTGAGAAAGCTGTCAGTCAAATGAAACTTAAAAGAGAGACACTTGTATTCCTTTATTTTTGTGCACCTTGTAGAAGAGGATCAATTGTCTTAATAAGACAAACAGAGAAAAAGCAAAGATAAAAAGGAACAGATCAGGTGCGATATTAGGAGCAATTTTGTCTCACAAAGAGTGGTGAGGCACTGGCACAGCTGCCCAGAGAAACAGAGGTGTCACTGTCCTGGGAGGTGTTCAAGAACTGAGTGGATGTGGCATGGTGGGGATCAGCTGATGGCTGGACACGGTGATCTTAGAGGTCTCTTCCAACATTGATGAGTCTGTGGTCCTATGAAAAACAAAGGCAGGTAAAACACATTATTTATCTGCAGAAATAATCTTGAAGTTTCAGGGAAACTCCATCATTTTATCATTTTCGTATTTTGATTTTTTTTTTTCTTTTTGTTTGAAGAATGGAGTTGTGTAATTACATTTGCCAGAGAAGCAAATTCATCTCTGATGTCACTTCCTAAAGCTGACCTTCTGATTTTTCAGAATGAAACTAAGCATCAGGACCAGCTGGGAGCCACCCAGCTGGAACGCAGCCTGGAAGAAAATGACCAGGGCATCCTGGTGGACACCAAGCTGAGTACAAGCCAGAAATGTGTCCTTCCAGCAGAGAAAGCTGATGGTGTCCTCGGTTGCAGTAGGCAAAGTACTGCCAGCAGGTCAAGGAAGGTAATTCTCTGTTCAGTTTGGTAAGTACTGTGCTGTCACTTGGAGAACTGCATCTTATTCGGGTTCCCAAGTAGAAGACAGACATAGACATACTGGACAGAGTCCAGTGTAGGACCACCAAGATGATAAAGGGAGTGGAGCATGTCTCCTGTGAGAAAGGTTTGAGAGAGCTGTGATGTTCTGCCTGTGGGGACGGTGCACAGCGGGCAGAGCCAAGCTCTCATTCAGTGCCCTGTGCCAAGGCCAGAAGCAGTGGGCACAAACTGAAACACAGGAGGCTCCCCCTGACCATCAGGCAGCACTTCTGTGCTGTGCAGGTGACGGAGCACTGGCACTGGGACACAGACAGGCTGTGCAGTCTCCTCCATGGAGATCTCCAAATGCCTGGACATGGCCTGGGCACCCTGCTCTGGGTGTCCCTGCTGGAGCTGGGGTTGGGCCTGATGGACACAGAGGTCCTGCCACCCTCAACCTGTCCGGGATTCTGTGATTTTTTGTTTACCTGTAGAGCTTTCTTTCAGTACGTAAGCATAACTAGGCTAAAATATTGGAAGTTCTTCGTGAGTAAACCATCAATATAGTAACACTTGAAAACAGAAGGAATACATCCTGGAGGCATTACTGCTTCTCTGCATTCTGCTGCTACATTAACAATGAAAGATGAGACCAGAGCTCCATGCTCAGGAGCGCTCCATGACTGGCAGCTGGAACAAAGACCTGCACACTGCAGGCTCTGTGCTGAAAGAAACTGGGTGAAGTGCAGGGACACTTGCTTTCAGAGTAGAGCTCAATGCACAAGGATCAGCAATCAACTCAAGCTGTTTGTTTTGGGTACTCCATGCATTACAGGCTTCCATTGTGTATGAGTGCCTTTGTAGGCTGCCACTGGACAGCACCAGATCTGCAGCATACCTCTGACTTTCACCCTGACCAGCTGGCAGAAGCAACTCCTCTTTTGTCCTTCCTCCTTCTGTCACTCATGTAGGTGCATTCATTGAGAAGAACAACCCACTGTAAAACGTGTGTCATAGAAAGCAGCCACTGACATTTCTACCTGCATCTCATAGAATCATGCCTGCTGGTAACACTGCAGTACCATCGATCTTAGCAGCTATCAGGAGCTCGCTGGTTCTGCAAGACAAAACTTCAGGCTGCACAGTGTAAAAGCAATCTACTAGAAGATGTCGGTGTTATTTTACTGGTTCTGTGTGAAAGCTCCACCTTGGGTGGGTTGAAAACATTTTGCATTGCATTTGGTTTTAACACGCTAAGTCACACACAGAACCACGCTTTAAAATGAGAATTGCTGGAAACACAGTTTGATGGCGAAAGTGGTAGCTGGTGTGGTTTAATTATTTAAATGCTAAAGAGGGCCGCACCGCTTGTCTTTAA